CTGAGTCGGCTGGGGTGGGTGGGAGAGAGCCCCGTGGGCTGCAGCCCCGATGGCACCCCCGGTTTGGGTGACAGCAGTTTGTCACCCTGGGGCCGTGCGTGGGTGTGTGGCTCTGCTGGGGGACTGATCTCTGCCCCCCAGAAGCAGGCAAGCGGGCAGCCAGTGTGCCCACACCAGCATGGGTTTGCATCCCTGGGGCCGGGAGGGCTTTAGGCAGGGCTGGATGGCGACTGTGTCCCCAGGGTCTGTCCCCAGGCCAGGACTGGCAGGAGGAAGGAAGGGGGGCTGCGGGGGGCTGCGAGGGCAGAGCACAGCCCTGGCGCGGGGGCATCTCCGGAGGCAGCTAACCTGGGTTGCGGTGACTAACAGAGTGAGCTCGCTTCACTGACGGCAGGTCTGGGACCTTGAGGGCTGCTTGTCCCAAACGGGATGGGGTCTGGGGGCAGCGGGAACTGGCAAAAGCAAGAAGGAGCCCTTCAGGACCCCCAGGCCTTGGGAATGTCTCATTTGGTGTTGGTCTCCAAGACCAGGAGATGCCTATGTGGATGGAGGCCTCAAGTCATCCGGCCATGCCCTCCTCCATTCCGACCCAGTCATCTTCTCTGTCTTCTTCTCCGCTTGCGTGCCTCTGTGTGTGTGTGTGTGTGCAATTAATCCTGGTTTCTGCTTGGTTTGAAATCGTAATCGCCTGGTGCTTCCGTTTGTTCGCTCTCCTCCCCAACATCTCTCTGACCGGGACGCAGCCGCTGGCATGTTTGTGATCTGACTTGTGGTTTTTCGGACCCCAGCCCTCCTCCCAGACAAAGTCTCTTGTCCATCCTGCCCAGCCCTGTGGAAGCCAAAGAGATGTGACCTTCATCTCGTTAGTGCCGCTCTCAAAGAGAGTGAGGTGACTAATGGGGCTCCATTGTGCGCTTCCCCCTGAACGGTGTTCCCTTGATCCCAGAATAGCTCCCAGCCCTGTTCGTTATGTGGAGATGAGTCACACAAAGCCAATCCTGGCCAGCCGTCAAGTCTTGAAGCTGTTCCCAATTCGGTGTGGATCTGACGGTCCCTGAATGGGCCAGGCGCTCTCTGAGATGCTCTCATTTCAGCCTGGTTCCGCAGCCCTCGTTGGGCGGCACAGCCTGGCTGCCTGTCCCCTTCACGGTGACATCCTGCACTTGTTTTGTAGGACAGAGACAATCACCTCACCCGATGTGTTCGGGGTTGACCACCAGATAAGACTCCTGAGCCGGAGAAGATTTCAATTGTATTTTCCACTTTCTTCCCAACCGGTGGAGACGAAGCTGGACCACCCATGGGTCAGCTGCCCAGCAGCAAGGGCAGGTCCTTGGGCTGCCACTGACCTGGCCCCATTCCTGGGGGGCCACTTGTTTGGCTCAGCTGATGGCCTTGGTGTGCGTTTGCAGTGTGAGGTGACATCTGGGAGGATGGCTCCGGCCATGTGCTGTGCGCCAGCCTGCAGGCAGCCCTGTCCGGAGAGCTGCTGACCCTGTGTTTGGTTTTCAGGGCTGCCCTGGCCTCTGCCCACCAGTGCCACCCCCTTCCTCAGACCCTCAGCGTGCTGAAGAGCACCCCGCAAGTGAGGGGCATGCACACCATCATCAGGTAAAGCCCCTGCCACCGCGGCCGCTGGGGCGGGATGGGGCTCGGCTGGTGGCTGGGGCGGGCTCGGTTGGCTTTGGACTCCGAAATCCCACGGGTGCCCTGTCATCACAACCTAGGGACATGGGACAGGACAGATGGGGGTGGACTCTGTGTACTTGAGCTGTGCTGTGAGTCCTCCATGGTCTCGCCAACAATTTTGCTGCTTTTTACCTTGAAACTGCCGCTGCAATTCCAGGCTCAGCCGGTGGACCCCATGCAAGCAAGATGCTGAGAGCCAGGGGGGCAGGGGCTGCCCTCCTCCCCCCAGCCCCTGACCCCCATCAGCGTCTCCTGGGGCACGTTTTGGTCCACAGCTTCCATTGCCTTTCCCTCCCCTCTAGAAACAAGGAGACCAGCAGAGATGAGTTCATTTTCTACTCCAAGAGGCTGATGCGGTTGCTGATCGAGCACGCGCTCTCCTTGCTCCCGTTCCAGGTGGGTTTCAGGGTGCAGCTGGGTGGGTGGGCAGCAGGCACCGTGTTTGTTTTCTGATTCCTAACCTGTAACTGCCAGGGAGCTGGGACAGTCCTGGCTCTGCTCCTCCAACCTTTCCTCCCAGATTAAAACGAGGCCAGGGCTCCCCTAGGCGTGGCCCTGGGTGACAACTCCTTGTCCAGCCTCGGTTTCCCAGGGGCCAGAGCAGCCCGCAGCTGGCTGGGTCCCTGTTACCAGGACTCCGAGAGCCATGTCAGAGTCCCCAGTAACGCTTCTCACATGGTTTTTGTAGAGTTGCACCGTCCAGACCCCCCAGGGACAGGACTACGAAGGGAGGACGTACAGTGGGAAGCAGGTAAGTGGGAGCAAAAGGTACAATTCAACCCTGCCCTGGGGGGGTGACGTGGAGAGCCCTGTGGATGCAGAGCAAGGACACCCCTGGCTTCTTGGGGCTCCCATCAGGCCTGGGTTTGGTGCCTGCTGTCCTGACTATGACACCCCATATCATCAAGAAGGTTAGTGGCCAAGGGTGCCATCAGCAATGTCACTGTGCCACCACTGTGCTTCCACTGGGGAGGCAGCCTGAACTGGGAGCAGCACAAGCCACTGGTGGGAGGGTTGTACCCGTTAGAGTCCCCAGTTGTCGAGTCCCAGTGCCTTACTGGGGTGGTGTACACCCCCTACACCATGCCTTCCCGTGGCCCTCGCTGTGTGCTGCAGATCACCGGGGTGTCCATCCTGCGGGCGGGCGAGACCATGGAGCCAGCGCTGCGAGCGGTCTGCAAGGACGTGCGCATCGGGACCATCCTCATCCAGACCAACTGCAACACGGGCGAGCCAGAGGTAAAGCGGGGGCTGAGGGCATCTCCTGGCATTAGCCGGACCATCCTCATCCAGACCAACTGCAACACAGGCGAGCCAGAGGTAAAGCAGGGGCTGAGGGCATCTCCTGGCATTAGCCAGCATTCAGGGGATGCCTCATGTATTTCCTGAGAGCTCTTCAGCCATCTGAGAGCTGATCTTGGTGGGGGCTCAAAAAGCAAGTGCTTTGGAAGCTCTGAAGTGGGCTTTGCCAGCATGTTTGTGTATGTCAGGGCTGGCTGGCTGTCCAAGCATTTGTACCAGTGCGTGTCTCCAAGCTGACAGCTGGGGTCCCAGAGATAGAGATGCATGAAAGATCCTTCACCCCTCCAAGAGAATCACAGAATCATAGGATCATAGGATGGGTTGGGTTGGAAGGGACCTTAGAGATGATCTAGTTCCAACACGAAGGTCTTGGGTTGCTCCGTTTGGCATGTCAGCAGAGACCCTTGAGCCTGCAGCCTCTGAGCTGACCTCTCTTCCCCCTGCCCAGCTCCACTACCTGCGGCTGCCGAAGGACATCAGCGAGGACCACGTCATCCTGATGGACTGCACGGTCTCCACGGGCGCTGCAGCCATGATGGCAGTGCGTGTACTGCTGGTACGAAGGGTGTCGGGCGTGCTGGAGAGGGCGGGTGGTTCGCTCCCAGATAACGTAAAACACCAGCCTCAGCCGTGCTGAGAGGCTTTGCACCAAAACCGTCTCCTCCTTGTGAGGGAGGATGCAATGGGAGACAGCACAAGCTGGGGTGACTCTAACCAGTCACCCCTTCTTTGGGAAGTTATAGTCTGGAATTACTTGGTTTCCTGGCCCTTTGCCCAATAACCCCAGTGGGTTGCAAAGAGGGGAGGAAAGTGGCTCCAGGAAGACCCTTGAGTGCTCCGAGTGTCACTCCCTGGAGACATGAGCCATAACATGGCTCAGAAACCCTCACCCTGAGCTGTCTTTGTGCCGTTCCTGTAGGATCATGATGTCCCAGAAGACAAGATCTTCCTGCTCTCCCTGCTGATGGCAGAGATGGGTGTCCACTCGGTCGCCTATGCTTTTCCCCGGGTGAAGATCATCACCACAGCTGTGGACAAGAAGGTGAACGACCTTTTCCGGATAATCCCCGGCATCGGTGAGTATCTGTAGGGTGGGAATCAAATTAGAGGGATTTTCGGTGCTTCTGGACAGAGGAGGTGAAGCCCTGGTTGGCCGCAGCAGCTTAGGTCTGGCCTTACTTTACCCAGGGACCCACTATAATCCCCGGCATCGGTGAGTATCTGTAGGGTGGGAATCAAATTAGAGGGATTTTCGGTGCTTCTGGCCAGAGGAGGTGAAGCCCTGGTTCGCCGCAGCAGCTTTACTTTACCCAGGGACCCGCTGCCTCTCTGGGGTCCTGCTGCCCCATGGGTCTTGGGATTGACATCCACGCTCTGAGAGCTGTCGCAGCCATGGGCAGAAGGAGCCGTTCCATGTGCCGCGAGCCTCCTCCGGCTCCCGGTGGAGAAGCTGGGCTGGGACAGCTGGAGCAGACCTGTGCCCACCTCATTCCCCAAGCTGCCACCTTACATGAGCTCGTCCAAAATCAGCTCACTGTGTTCTGCTGTCCTCCCCTCTGCCACGGCGTGCTGAAACAGCCTCCAGACTGCTCCAGTTTTGCTGCTACACAAGTTTTAGTGCTGTTCGAGCTGTCGGATAAACCTGCTTTTGTTTCCTTGCGGGCTGGGACGAGGACAGGCTGGAGGAGGGGTCCCAGGGCTCCCTACAGAGCTGCACCGCCATTGCATCTCTTTCTTTCTCCCCGCAGGGAATTTTGGCGATCGGTACTTCGGGACAGATGCTCCTCCCGACTGGAGCGACGATGAAGATGCTCTCAGCACTTAGCTGGATGTAGAGATGCCACTGGCGACAGGCAGCTTCAGCACCGCACCTTAACCCCTCTGTCATCGCAGATTTCTCCTCCCTCCTCACCAAGCATAGATATTTTTTTCAAATCTGACATTGGAGATCTAGGGCATATTTTTTCAAAGAAACACAAATCCTAGTTTCACTTTGTGGACAGTCGTGTGTCCCAGCATAGAGCAGAGTTAATTTATTTTAATTTAAATATTTGCCTATATAACTTATTGGAGATATTTTATAAAGAAAAATAATAAATTTTTTCTCTGGTTTTCTTGAATGGAGCCATTCTTCGTCACACCCCCAGGGGTGCCCAGAAGGATTCACAACCCTTTGGGGCTGCTGCCCAGGGAGGGGAAGATGCTGGGAGCAGTGGTGGGAGGTCCA